GATTGGTCTGATGACTCATCACCTAGCTTGCAATTTCTAATCCCAAACACAATAGTTTTACTCTCACTCTCACTCAGTCATGTTGCAAGGCTCAATCACCAAGCTTACAGTAGGTTTCTGAACTTACAAAGCAAAGTTGCTGAGAGTTACAAAGTTGTAAGGTTTTACAAAGATTACAATGAGTTGCAGAGTTTGAAAGGCAATGCAGCTGAAACAGTTACAAAGCTTCAGAGAATCATTTTCAAATCATCAGTAATGAAGTGATTTAGAAGACAACTGCCCCCCACCCCAGCAGTCAGCAGGAGGTTTTTGTCAGTTGAAGTCATGTGTTGGCAGGACCTTACAGTTTAGTGTATTCCAGAAAATCCATGTGTAAATTCAAGTAATAGCTCAGGTGGACGCTTTTATGTAACAACTTCATGCTCTCCCCCCGCCCCAGGCCAATCATGGCTTGAGGGCAGAGGGAGCCCATGAAATCTCCCATTCTGCGAGGGGCTCAGTACTTAGTCAACAGCCAGCTGCTGCTCAAATGGTGATTGACTCTTAAGTGCGGTGCTCCCTTGCAGGGCAGTGGGGGAGAGGGAGAGATTTCACGTGCTCCTCCTCCCCAGTCCCTGATTGACCTTTGCACACTCCCCCATCCCCAAGGGGAAGCACGTGAAGTCTCTTCCCATTGCCAGGGGCATGGGTACCTAGAGGGAACTGCCAGGTGTTTAGAATAGCTGGCAGTTCTTTCAGGGTGGGGATGGGGGGAAAAGACTGCGCGTTCCTCCACCCCCAGGCCAATCATGGTCCGTTGGTGGGTAAGCATGGAAGTGTCCTGGACCCACCCCTTCCGGGGTGGCCTGGGGTGGCTTACATTTCTGAAGTTACTCCTGGTAAAAAATTATTGCCTACCTCTGATTTAGAAAATGGCATAGAGAGTATGATTATTAAGTTTGCAGGTGAAACCAAGCTGGGAGGGAGTACAAGTGCTTTGGAGGATAGGGTCAGAATTCAAAGTGATATGGACAAACTAGAGAATGGTCTGAGGTAAACAATGAAGTTTAATAAAGAGAAATGCAAAGTACTCCACTTAGGCAGGAACAATCAGTTTCACACACACAGAATGGGAAGCGACTTTCTAGGAAGGAGTACTGCTGAAAGAGATTTAGGGATCATAGTGGACTACAAGTAAAAAATGAGTCAACAGTGTGACACTGTAGCAAAAAAGCAAGCACAATTCTGAGATGCATTACTGGGAGTGTTATCAGCAAGACATAAGAAGTCATTCTTCCGCTCTACTCTGTGTTGATTAGTCCTCAATTGGAGTATTGTGTTCAGTTCTGGGCACTACGTTTCAAGAAAGATGTGGAGAAATTGGAGAAGGCCCAGAGAAGAGCAATAAAAATGATTAAAGATCTAGAAACCATGACCTGCGAGGGAAGACTGAAAGAACTGGGCTTGTTTAGTTTGGAAAAAAGAAGATTAAGGGGGGACATGATAGCGGTTTTCAAGTATCTAAAAGGGTGTTACAAGGAGGGAGGAAAATTGTTCTACTTGGCCTCTGATGACAGTACAAATTGCAGCAAAGGAAGTTTAAGTTGGACATTAAGAAAATCTTCCTAACTGCCAGGGTGGTTAAATACTGGAATAAATTGCCTAGGCGGGTTGTAGAATCTCCATCACTGGAGATATTTAAGAGCAGGTTAGGCAGACACCTGTCAGGGATAATCTAAATCTGTGGTCTCCAACCCTTTTACACCCAAGATCTATCCCATCCTTTCCCCAAGATCCCACCCCTTCCTTGAGGCCCCACTCTCTCCATTCCCCTTCTCTCCATAATTTGTTGTCCCCAGCCCTTACTCGCTCTCACTGGGTTGAGACAGGAGGTGTGGGCTCTGGGTGAGAATGATGGATTTGAATGTGTGGAGGGGTAAGAGGTGCAGGCTCTGGGAGGGAATTTGGATGCAGGAGAACGTGGAGAAGGGGATGCTGGCTCAGGCAGAGGGCTCTAGGCTAGAGAGTGTTGGGGTCAGATGGAGGGTTGGTGTGCTGAGCAAGCTGCAGGCTTGTGGAGCTGGGGGTCTAGGAGTTTGGGTTGGGATGTATGAGGGGCACAGGGTTCAGGTGATGGGTTCAGGGTTGGGGTCTGTGGGAGGTGCAGGAGTGTTATGATGCTGCGGCCAGATAGGGGGCTAGTTGGCCAGGCTTCATTTTTTAATAAAATATTATGTCCAACACAAAAGGTTTCTCCGTTGTCTTTATTTATGAGAGGGGCGGGGAACCTGCTTTGGGTCAGGGGCCACTGACCCACAGAAAAATCAGTCACAAGTGAGATGCAAAAAAAACAACCCCTCCAAAAAACCCCAAGCCTCACTGATGTGGCCCCAACTGAGATACCTCACTCCCTTGGCACTGCAGCCCATGGGGGGGGGGGGGGGGGGCCGGCGC